CCCTGAAACCTAAACCCTAAACCCTTGCCTCCTCGCTCCGAGGCGTCAGTTTCGGAGCATTCCCAGCAGCGAGGTGAGCCTTTGCTCTCCTGGGATCTGTCATGTAGGTACGGTTGATGATATACATCCTGCATTACCCATAGTACGGAATATGCCGAAATTCCCGCAGTTTAGCGTCCTTAAGGTAATGCAGGATTTATATCATCATCAGTAGTTCTCTAAGTTGGGGTCCTTTTTAGGGTTCCCTTACATGGATTTTATCAGGTTTTCTTGTGTAAGGGTGTTGCACTATTTTGGGGACCTAGCAAGGGACCCTGGTTTAGAGAACTACTCAGCTCCTTGGCTTGTCGTAAATCTGGTGGTGTCTGTTGTGTCATGTTGTGTCCTCAAATTTTGGCACCGATGAGGTCCGATTTTCCAGGGCTCGACGTCAGGTGCTTCCGTTGTTGGGGGGATCGGCAAGTTTGATCAGACGTACATGCCCGCCCAGACGTCGACGATGATCCATAGTTCCTCACGTTCCTCATCGGCCCTTGCCTGGAGCTCACATCGAATGCAATTGGAGGGGGCTGTGAACACATTGTGCTAGGCAGACGACTCCACCGGCGTGTGGTGCCTGCTAGCCAACATAGCCCAGGGGACCTTGATGAACCCTAAACCCTAAACCCTAAACCCTAAACCCTAAACCCTATCTTCTGAAGCGGGCCTCGGCCCGCAAGGAGCCCTTTGACATCTACATGGGCCCGAAGCGACTGGCTTCCGTCAATGCACAATCCGTGCTGCAGCTGACCGGATCTATGGAGTAGCACCCTAAAGCCCTCAACCTTAAATCCTAAAACCCTCAAACCTGAAATCTTAAATCCCTAAATCAAATCCTGAACCTAAACCTTAAACCCTAAACCCTAAATCCTAAATCCCTAACCCCTAAATCCCTAATCCCTAAACCCTAAACCTCAAAGTCTAGGCGGGTCTGAGGGATGTGAGGAGACCCCGGACCTTCTCAATATCCCCTCGGACTCAATAGCCCTACTGAGGGCTTTAGGGTTTAGGGTTTAGGGGTTTGGGTTTAGGGTTTGGGGGTTTAGGGTTTATTTTGGGTTTAGGGGTTTAGGGGTTTAGGGTTTATGGTTTAGGGTTTAGGGGTTTAGGGTTTAGGGTTCAAGGGTTTAGAGTTTAGGGTAAAGGGTTTAAGGGTTTAGAGTTTAGGGTTCAATGTCATGGGTGGGGCTGGCAATCCACGAATTCTCGAACCACGCCCCAGTAGCTAGCGACGACGATACGGTGCCCGAAATTCAATTTCAATAACCCCATTATGGTATCCATAAACAATTCGTAAAGCACCCTACATCCCTAAAGCCTTGCCAGCAAATCCAAAGCTCTGAAACTCTGAACCTTTAACTTCGCCCCAAAACGCCCTAGATAACGCTGTAAAGCCCACATAAGATCCCTGATCATGCCTTAAAAAGCCTTCTTCATCCCTGAACCGAGCCCTTAGCAAACCTAAACCCTCAACAGGCCGCCGAGATGCTAAAGTCTGGCGGCTCTGCTCCTTTAGAGGATTGTTTTCAGGGTTCCTTTAACCCTAAACCCTAAACCCTAAACCCTAAGCCCTAAACCCTAAACCCTAAACCCATAAGCCCTCATTACTCCTTTAGAGGGATTGTTTCAGGGTTCCTTTAAGAGGCAAGTGGGCCTCTCAGGGTCCTTCTCGAGAGACCTCTGAGGAGTAAGGCGTCCTTGACGGTTTCAGTGTTTTGTACCCTAAACCCTAAACCCTAAATGCTGGATCTTTTTGGGGGTTTGAAGATTCAGCTGTTGAGGCGTTGAGTTTTTGTGGCGAAGGGGGTTTTGGGTTTGAGGGGCTGCAGGGTTCAGCGTTCAGGGTTTAGGGTTTTGGGGTTTGGGACTGGGGGGTCTTGGGGGTTTGGGATTTGAAGTCGAGGCTTTGGGGCCTTTGGTGTTGTAAACTACATGGTTTAGGGTCTAGAGTTTGTATACTACATGGATGTCTCATAGGGTCCATGCTTACTGAAACTATGGAAGTATGTCCTACAACACCATCCCTATCGCGGTTTTGGAGACCTAGTACCAGAATAGCTCCCCCCTGGTAACACAGCCATGGGGGGTTTCGCACGATCCTCCGAGAAGGTTTGTTCGTTCCACTGCTTTTCGCTTCGTTTGATTCTCAATTTCAGAGATGGGTCGGCGCTTTATTGTTTAGGGTTTAGGGTGTCGGGTGTAGGGGGGAAGCGAGTCTCCTTGCAGGGTTTGGCCCTAAACCCTAAACCCTGAACCCTAAACCGGGTTTCCGGGGTTTCAGCTTTCGGAGTGTATGGTTTAGGATTTCGGGTTCACTTTGGCCTCAAGGTGTCGGGTTTCAGGCCAGGGGTCAAGTTGTTTGTGCTTCTTAGGGTCTAGGGTTTAGGGTTTCGGGGTTTAAGGTTTAGGGTTTAGGGGTTTAGGGTTTAGGGCTTCGTGAGGCGATTGGGCCTATCTGGACATACGCCGGGTAGAGGAGGCCTCACGCATTGCTGGGCGCGGGGGGCGCATGTTGCAGGCTTTCGAGGTGGGGTTTGCCGAGGGGTTTAGGGTTTAGGGTTTAGGGTTTAGGGTTTAGGGTTTAGGGTTTAGGACAGGCCACAAAGCCCTAGATCCTGAACCCTGAACGAGCGGTTAGCGGGCTTAGGATGTGTGGGTAGGTCATTTCTATGGCTTTGAAGCATGCATTTTGGGGTAATATAGGGGCTTGAATAATTGCCAATAGGGTCCACTACGTTTCCTTATTATAGTTAGTTACAGTATAATATACCCACAACCATATACCAGTTTTTACAGCCCCTACATTTTAGTGTCCATTGTGGTGTGGTTGGGAGCGGTCGAAAAACACCAGCCTGAGGTGACGGAGGTGCATAGGCTCTTCTAAACCCTAAACCCTAAACGTCCGAACTAAGGCCTAACACCTAAAACTTAAACCTTTAGGGGTTTAGGTGTTTAGGCGGTTTGGGGTTTAGGGTTTAGGGGTTTAGGGGTTTAGGGGTTTAGGGGTTTAGCGGTTTAGGGTTAGGGGTTTAGGGTTTAGGGTTCCGGGCCTGGGCAAACACTTGTACATGAACCATGTCGGTGACCGTGCCCTGTGACATAACCACATGACTTTCGATGCAGGTTTCAGAAAAGCATTCTTGCCCAAAGGGTCCGTGGATGTGCCCTTTCAAAGGTTCCTTGAAGGGTTCTATAAGGGTTCTATATGGGTACAATCAGGGTTTAGGGTTTAGGGTTTAGGGTTTAGGGTTTAAGGCTTCAGGGCCCATGGACTCAAAGTGTAGACTTCAGCCAGAAAATATCTAGACAGCGACATTTTTGAGGACAAAGTATATACTATGAGTTCATGGACCCTAAAACTCCAAACCTTTATGATACCCTTAGGGAGCCCTTAAAGGAACCCTTACAGGAACCCTTATAGGTACTTGGTTTGTTCTTTATCCTCCTTACGCGCGGTCTTCGGAAGGGGTTCTTAGGGACAAGAGGTTCAGGGTTTTAGGGTTTACGGTTTAAGGGTTTAGGGTTTGTGAGTAGGCTTTTGATGACAGTCTTGCTTAAAGGTTCATGGCAGTTCATGATACGCTTGTACTGAGTTGCCTTCAGTTCCAATTGCCTATAAATTGGCATGTTTACGGGTTGTGGTTTAGGCTTCCAGATGCTCTCACAACATCCTCGAGTGCTTGCTCATCTTGATTTGAGGCTTTCAAGTTCGGCTCACAGCTAGGCTTGCCTGTGGCCAGGATGAACGTTAGGCTGCTTCCGCTTCCTAGCACATGCCTGCAACCGACCGTCCCTGCGAGCACCGAGACTTTCCTGCGGCTCTCGGCAGCGAGCGCTGCGACCTTCAGTCACTATGTTTCGAGGCTGGAGCGAATCATGGGGATCGAATCAACTCCACGCAGGGAGCCGTGCATCATCTTCGTTTCATGGGAGCATACGTATACCTCCCTCAGTAGCAAAGACGTCGTCGTGGTGGTAAGTAGTACAAAGTAAGTGGCAAGTAATTAGTAGGTGGTATGTACATCGCAGCAGTCGCGATGGCGGCGCCGCCGCCGCCACCGCCACCGCCGCCATCGCCACCACCACCACGACGACGACCACCACCACCACCACCACCACCACCACCACCACCCCCACAACACCGCCGCCACCACCACCGCCGCCGCCGCCACCACCACCACCACCACCATCACCACCACCCGCCACCAGCACCACAACATCATCGCCGCCGACGCCACCACCACTGGACCACCACGACATTACGACAGTAAACACCCTCCCGAGGCGACATGATGGACCTAAACCCTAAACCCCGGAGGCGACATGATGGATGTGGTTGCGGCTGGAGTTTGCGAGCTTCCGCTCTCGGCATCACTGCCCTCTTGTCGAGGAGGCTGCTCCGGACCGGGGTCTGTGCTTTTCGGAGGTCCCCGAAGGGATAAACTGGCATACCTGGCGATCGGGGTACCGTCTCCCGGGAGATTTTTTTCTGTTAGGGTTTAGGGTGCATGGCTGTCTAAAAGGAGAGCCCTGCGACTCCGGACGCGGTCTGCGGCGCATGTGGTCTGGCATTTCGGCTGCTCATGTCTTGGCGATGCTAATGCTGCCATGGAGGAGACTTCAGGTTTGTTTCAGGGAGTCAGGGATCCTGTCCCCCCACGCATCATCATGAAAGCCCCGAGTAAGCAGAACCGGAAAAAGACAAGCGGGAAGAGGTGTTAAAAGATCACACAGCCACCTCTAGCAGCAGCACCAACAACAGGTTCGAGGAGGTGACGAGGAGAAGGAGGAAGACGACAGGGCCATCAGCATCAACATTCACAGCAACCCTAAAACCAAAATCCTAAACCCTAAGCCCTACACGCTGTTGCTGTTGAGCTTTTGGCCTCTGGCCATTTTGCTTCCCAGCCTCAACCCGTCTAATGTTTTGAACACTTTTGAAGAATTAGGGTTCAGCGTGCAGGGTATAGGGTTTAGGATAGTATGCCCATTCTTGCAGTCACAGTAGGCTAGGAAACGGGCTCGAACAGGCCGGTAACACGTAGGCATCCGTATGTAGACCCTACAGTCATACCATGAACCTTATGGCATCTCATGGCGCTTGCATTGTGCCGTATATGACCCTCATAAATTCCAAGACAACCCTAGGCGAAAACCCATGAAGACCTTGTCCAACACTACAAAACCCTAAACGCTAATGATAAAGGCCCCGATGCTGAGAAGGAGACGCTGGATGCTTTTCTGGCCTCCTTCCGGGACGCGACGCGGCCTGGACGCTTCTGCCATGTGTCGGCCCCTCCGCAGGTGCCAAAGACCGCCCAACAAGAAAGGGTTTAGGGGCCAGGGTTTACTTAAAGGATCATGGGACTTAATAGGTAGGTTATAACTAAGGTAACTACACTTATAACCCCAATTAGGGGACTTATAACCTTACTTACTAAGTCCCATGATCCTCCAAGTAAGGTTTAGGAATTGCTATCGTCGGCTTCTCGAAGTTCCAAATGGGGTTCTAGGCATGTCGGATACGCTTCTTACAACACCATGATACCGATTGATCTATGTTTCATCGCTTGGTTTCGGGCCCCATAAGTTGTTAACAACCCACCATACAAGCTCATGAGCTCCGATAAAATCCCTAGAACCCCATAAAATGCGGATTCGAAGCTTCAACACACCTCCACCAAAACGTGACGAGGAGCCACTGCCGTCCCTCCGGAAAGAAGCGAGCCATCAGCCATTGCTTCTGGACTTCGGTGCGCAGGCAGCCTTGGCCCGGTGGCACGGTTTAGGGTTTAGGGTTCAGGGTTTAGGGTTTAGGGTTCAGGGTTTAGGGTTTAGGGTTCAGGGTCTAGGGTTTAGGGTTCAGGGTTTAGGGTTTAGGGTTTGCAGAGTTTTTTCGGGTCTTTTTGGGGTTTTGCAGAATTTGTTTTATGAGGATTTGGGATGGCTTTAGAGGGTGTTAGAAGAGTTCTGTAGGGTTTTGGGAGGGTCTTGTCCCAAACCCCAAACCCCCCTAGAATCTCCTTTGCCGAAGATGGGTCCATCAAGCGGCTCATCATTGTCGATAGGCCCTTCTCCACCACACCCCTCATGGCTGGTCGATAGGTCGCTATTCCGCAAGCCTCCTGCTCGCTGATCAATGCATAGGCCTTGGCCACTTTCAAGAAGATCCCTAATATAGAAGCCTAAATAATTACCAACATTACTGTTAGGGATCCTTAGTATCACAATACTATAAAGGAGCCCAAAGCCCTATTCTAATCATTAAGGCTCCTACATTATGCACGGCCCCCTTCCCCTTTCCATTATCCATACCCTGTGCGGTATGGCCAGGGTCAGTTTCACATAGGCACCCATCCACGCCACGATAGACCCTATCATGCCGTCTCGGGCGAGAATCTCGCAACAACTGCCGACGCAGACAATCTGTTCAACACGTACATCTTCAGAGACTCCTCGCCGTCCTTAACCGTGGACATATCTGACACAACAAGGTAACCCTACAAACTGTGGGCTCGGACCATCAGCTCGAGTGCAGGGTTCCAGACGGGATTTCTGTCCCAACGGAGCGTGGGAAGACTTCGCCATGCGCCAGCATGATCGCTTGATTACGTTGTACGAGCATAGCTGGGCCAAGAAGCAGAAGGCATTCTGCACGCGCCGCTGCACAGCTCCGAATTGCTGCGATGGCAGTTTCAAGAGTGCCTCTAAACCCTAAACCCTAAAACCTAAAACCTATAGCCCTAAACTATGAGTATCTTTGCAACCGGGATCCTGATGGTTGAGGTTCACACTTGGATTCTGTATTCGGGCTTTAGGTTTCTAAGCGTTTTTGGGGAGCTTAGTGTTGTAGGAGTGAGTTCCGGAGTCTGGCTTCAAGCTTTACAAACCCTAAACCCTAAACCCTAAACCCTAAAGGTAGCTCTGTTGCTTAGGGTGTAGCTTCTAGGGAGCTCAAAACCAAGGATGCTTTGTTTAAGTTACCAAGTCGTAAACCCGAAGCCCCTAGATGCCCTAAACCCTAAACCTCCGGTTTAGGGTTTAGGGTTTAGTGAGCCACATGCCTCTTGAAGCGCAAATGCCTCGCAACCCGCGCAATGCCGAAATCCCGAAATGCTTCCAAAACCACAGACCCCAAGCCCGTCCTTACACCCGGTACCCAAGACCGGCTCCCCACTTTCACTTTCTCCAACCCTAAACCCTAAAGCCTGAAGCCTCAACTTAAACCCTGAAGCCTAATGCCTAATTCCTAAACCCCAAAGCCGAAACCATGAAGCCTGAAGCCTAAACCCTAAACCTTGAAGCCTAAATTTAAATCCTAAAACCCTGAAGCCTAAACCCCCAAACTCCTAAACCCTAAGCCCTGAAGCCTGAAGCCTAAAGCCGAATAAGGCCTAAACCCTTAAGCCCTAAACCCTAAACCCTAAACCCCAAACCCTAAACCCAAGCTTCCCTTCTCAGGGTTCCGAGCCAAACGTC